GGGTCTAGTTTTAATCTCTGGCAGGTTGAAATCCAGTTTTTCCAACACCATTTATTAAATAGGCTATCTTTCCTCCAGTGAGGGTGGTTGTCTCCTTTGCTGCCCCTTTATTTAAAGGGGATGGATTCAAATTATTTTTTTAATAAGCCTGTGTTTTTTACTTCCCAGATAGTAATCCTAAGTGAAATTTGATTTATGGGTTTTATCTGGAGAAAACAGTGAGCATTGCCCAGCAGATTAAATAGGTTTCTACTTATTCATAGATCCATTGGACAGATGGAAGATTTATAATAGGATCTGATGACCTCACATGAGCCTCTGGTTTGGAGTGTCACTGGGATTCTAGAATGCCACTATTTTTACCTGTTCCCTGTGTTTATTTAATTAAGCAATTACAGCATCCAAATTTAAAATTTGTATAACTTAGGGGTGCTTTGTGGTATTGGCCACAATAAGAAATATAACTAAGTTTATTTTATTTTTTTTATTTTTAGTACCGGGGATCGAACTCAGGACCTTGTGCTTGCCAGGCAGGCGCTAGAACCACTCAGCTAAATCCCCTGCCCATACCTTGCTCATTTCTTGGTATTTGAGGTAATTTGGAATGTATAGTTTGGGATAGCAAGGAAGGGAGGGAAGTCAGCATGGAGAAACTGAAATTAGAATTTCAAAACTTGAAGTACTGTAGGTCAAAGTGGTAAGAACCTCCTGGGAAGAGGTAGGAATCTGTTCAACTGGAACTTAAAGGCTGAATTCAAAGTGATATTGTAAAAGCTTGGTCAGGAAGTAGAAGTCCTGAGACTTTGGATTTAAGCAGGAATGACAAAGGTTCTGTTTCTGGAGACTGGAAAATAGAGAAGCAAAGCCTTTGCACTGGGAGAAAGATGAAATTGATTTCATTCACTTTTAAGTTGGTGGTGTTGATAAGAGATCCATTAGATGTTAGAAATGTAAGCTTTGATTTTGACAGAGAAGTCAGTTTGTGATGATAGGTTTGAGTTATTTTTACTGGCTATAGTTGAAGTTGTGGAATAAAAAGGTAAGGGGAAAAACTGTTTACAGTAAAAGGAGATTGTCTATATTTGAGATAGACAATTGGCAAAGAATGAAAAGATCCAGTAATAGTATAGTTTCACAAAAAGGAGAGAATCTGTACTAAGTTGAAAATTCTAGGATAATTCACCCAAAGCAAACTTTTGTGATTTGTCTTTAAAGATGTGGTTTCATACTTAGAGAATAAAGATATAGGCTTATGGCAACATGGTTCAAAGTATGAACTAGAGTAAGTTTAAGATGGGGATCTCAGCTTCGATATATTTTGACTAAGAAATTTTGGACAAGTTATTCTTTCTGTACCTCAAGAGATTATTTTGTGGATTAAAAGAAAATTAGCATCTGTCATCCTTGCTAAGTAAGTGCTGGAACATTGGTAGTGCTTTAGTGCTGGTACTTTAGTGTGAAGTCTTATCTTCCTTATTTTCTGAAATATTGTAGTTTTGTTTGAAATGGGTTCTCGCTATGTTGTCCAGGCCGGACCTAAACTCATGAGCTCAAGTGATCCTCCTGACTCAGCCTCCAGTGTAGCTGAGACGACAGGTGAGCACCACCACACTCAGTGAAAGTTTGAGTTTTAATTGTTAGGAGATTATCCTGATATTATTAATTTTTTAACTATGAAGAACAAAAGTATGCTTTTAACATATTTAGTGCAACTTGAAGTGAACCCTGACATATTGCTGGAAGCTTAATCATTATTTCTCAGAGTGTATTCCTAGACTATGATGCATGAGGGCTGAGGATTTAGCTCAGTGGTTCTGCCGCCCACCTTGCAAGTGCACGGTCCGAAGTTCGATCCCTGGTACCAAAGGAAAAAAAGAAAGAAAGAAATAGACTATGATGCATGAAGAATTACTTGGGCTTTACTTAATAATGTGGTTTAGTCTGAGAAATGCTATATATATTCTATTCTCTTCTTTGAGGTTCATATTGTATATTAGTAAAAATGTTTAACTTAGTTTTTTCAAACTTACTAGATTATTAAGGTTTCTTTCCTTCCATTTTACATATTAAGTTTTACATACTGCAGTTTTGTACATTTTACTATTTGCTTAGCTTAGGCATTTAAAAATACATTCAGTCTCATCTATTAAGAAAGTTTAAATTGATGTAATTCAGATCCAACATTTTCATCCTCTGGACATGTCTGTGGTTGTAGATTAAGGTCTGTAGATTACAGTGTATTTTGTAGGTGCTTTGCTACTAACAGGCCAATTAAGCAGACTGGGAAATTGCCAAAATCAGGGTAAATATGAGTTAAGTATTAAGCTGTCTCCTCTTCTTAGAAGCCTATGGTAACCATGTTAGGCAAAAGTAACTTCTCTCTCCTGCATGCTTCCTTGCCTGTAAACGTTTGTGTTTGTCTCCCTCAACTTTGATAGGGAGTTGCTTTAGGGCAGAGATGTCATATCTTACTCTTTATTTCCAGTACCTAACATAATTGCTTACAGAGTAGACCGTTTTAAACATTGGCCAAGTCTGTTCTTATTGGGTACAAATAGGACAACATGGAAAGAAGCAACTATTGTAGTTATCATAGGGGATAATCTGAATCAGAGTTAGGATGTGGCCAAGGGCAGAGGAAACCACTACAAAATAGAAACCAGAAAGAAGATACAGTATTTAAGTTTCCTGTGGTATATCAAGTTAATGCTTTATCTCATTTCCTTGATACTCTGCCCCATGGCCTAAAAATCATTTGCTTGTTTAGCAAACACTGCAGCATAAAAGTTATGGGGTGACAGAAGCATGCAATGTTTATATAATGTAATAAAGCCACAATAGAGGCATGGGTGTATGCTAAAGGTAGCAAACCTATGGCCTGTGTGCCACAGCAGGCTGTATCATTGAAAGCTCTAAAAGGTTTGCCATCACTGATGTATTAGTATACACCAGTTATTAGTATACTGGATGAAAGAGAGAAAGGGGGAAGTATTCATAGAATGTGATATTTTGTCTGAATTTGAGAGAAGGGAGAACACTTCCTCTAAGTAGATAGTCTGTGAAGAGAGGTTTATAGCCAAACTTGGTAGAGTCCAGGAACAGAGGGAGATGATACGCATCTGGTTCATGTGGAGCAAGATTGGGGAGATAAGGTGGGGAACTGATTGTAAGGAATCTTGTTTCTGTTTTTGTCTCCCTTTTTCCTTTTGTGCTGTTCCAAGGAACCTTTGCTTTAACCATAAGTAATGGGGAGCCAGTGGAGGATTTTACACAGCTGAGTGACATTATCAGACATATGGAGATAGGTAGGTAGGTAGATGGATTTGGAGGCAGTTGCAGTAGCCCATGCAAGAGATGAAATATTCCTATTGTATGAATCCAATTACTGTATATGAAATGTCCAGAATAGGCAAATTCATAGACATGTAAAGTGGATCAGTGGTTGCCAGAAGCTGGGGGAAGGTACAATGGGGGATTACTGCTAAAAGATACAGGGCTTCTTTTTAAGCGTAAGTTAGTAGTGATGGTTGTGAATATACTAACCATTGAATTTTATACTTTTAATGAATGAATTTGATTATGTAAATTATATCTCAATTTAAGGAAAGGAAGGTAGGTTAGAGGAGGGGAAGAGAGAAAGTGGGTGTGAGACAGAAATGGAAACAGAGGGAGAGAGATCCTGTAACAGAGTTTGAAATACTCAGTGGTAGAGAATTCTCTTTGTCAGTTCTGTTACTTGGATACTGAATATTGCTAATATCCACAATAAAACTGCAGTTGGTTTTGAAGTTTCTAGTTTGACTAAATTGATAGAGAAAAAAATGCTGGAAAGTTAAGTTTGGAGAGATTTGTAAGAACTCTGTGAACTATGTTAAATGTGTAATCAAGGCAAGCAGTTAAAGGTAATGGCTCAGATTTGAAGAGGGATTTAGGGACAGAAGCAAATGTGTGAAGGTTGACTGAAGAAGTCAGTCAGGCTTGATGATAGATATCTTGTCTCTTCAGTCCCTTTGGAAGGTAATGTCCTATTTGTTTTTTATCCGCAAATCTGGTGTACAGATTGTTTTTGTTTTGTAAAGTTGAATCTTATATCGCTTTTCAGGCAGAGGCAAGACTGGCAGCAAAACGTGCTGCTCGGGCAGAAGCAAGAGATATACGCATGAGAGAACTGGAACGACAACAAAAAGAGGTAATTTAGGGGAATAACTCTAATTTCTTACCCCCTCTCCCCAAGTCAATACTTGGCTAGTTTAATTCTGATGTTAATCTGGTTCCATTTGAAACACTGGAATAGTCTAACCTGATGTATATATTTTAACAAACCATTTTATGTCAACAAAGTAAATATAGTACTTGTTTTAAATAACAAACATATATAGCTTTTACTGTGTACACTGTTATTAGTTATTATGGTATTGTAAATGCTCTTATGTTAGTTAAAGTAGCTTTAGAGATGACAATAGTTTAGTATAGATCTACATGTTCTGGAATTTGAATTACCATGCCTATCTAGTAAAACAGTATGAAGTTATTCAATCTTGTAATTTTGAAATATACTTAATAATGAAAGAAAATATTCATGTAAGAAAATACTTAAAAAAAACAAAATTAGAAAATTGTTAGGGTTCTAATTTTGTGTTACAAAAACCATTATCCATCTATTAAGATCAAAAACTACTAGAAAGAAGTGGTTACCATGAAATATTTTGATTTGAGTATGTAGTTATGGTTGATTTTGTTTTTCTTAGGCTTTTTAGTAGTTTCCAGATTTTTAATATAATTTTGTATTCAGAAAAATCAGTATGGGAGAGTCCTCAAAAAACTAAAACTAGAAATTTCATTTTACCCAGCTATTCATACCCTTCTAGGTATCTTCCCAAAAGAGTTAAACACATCATATTACAGTGGTACATGCATACCAATGTTTATAGCAGCACAATTCATGATAGCTAAATCTTGGAAGCTTCCTATGTTCATCAACAGATGAATGGATAAAGAAAACTAGGTTTTTGTATACACTGGAGTACTAATATGCCATAAAGAAGGATAAAATTGAGGCACTTACAGAAAAATGGATACACCTTGAGACCATATGTTAAGTGAAATAAATCAGGTGCATAAGCTTAAATAGCAAATGGTTTCTCTTATATGAGAAACACAAAGTATAATTAAATAGCAAAATAAAGGATAGATAATAGGAAATAGGGAGATAGATATTTTGTAAAAGTGAAAAGGAGCAAGAGATGTAGGGAAAGTGGAGAGAGGGGAGGGGAAGGGGATGATAAAAGAATTAAAATGTGTTATGTACATGTACCAATTCTCACAAGGAATGTATTAATGTACTGCAAACATGTATTAAGAAAAATAAAAATTAAAAAAGAAAAACATTTAAAAAATAGACATATAGAAATTGGGCTAACTAAAATGAAATGCTGCTTGTACCTTTTCTTCTGACATTGACTGGGCCCTAAAAATTCCCATAAAAATATTTTCGATATTGTATTATTAGTACAAAGGGGAAAACACCTGTGGGGCAGTATTAAGTGCTAATACTGATTGTAGTTCTTGGCCAGAAATGTACATATTGCAATGTATTGTTTTTTATACTCCTAAGATTATACTAAGGAATAGGTAATTATTAAATAAAGTTCTATTTATGGTTCTCTAAACTGCAAAGAACCATGTATGTTTTTATTATTGAATCTAGTAATTTATTATTAGCCTAGTAATTTCCTGTGTTTTGAATGTCTGAGTCAGTTGTCATTGTTCTTTGGAGAAAGTATATGTAATTGATTTAAGAATTTTTGGGGCCGGGGGTTTAGCTCAGTGGTTCCAGCACCTGCCTCACAAGCACAAGGTCCCGAGTTCAATCCCTGGTACCAAAAAAGAATTTTTGGAGAATTCAGTGTGTTGAAAACTATTCAGATTGTGAAACTTTTTCATTTGTAGCACTCTCATCATTCCTTTGACCGGAAATGGGGACAGATTCACAAGTGGCTGGTAGGCCAGGATTGCCTGTCCTGCATGTTGTGATAACTTGTTGAAATAATGCAATCTTGAAGTAAAACATTGACTAATAGTTTTCAGAGTCTTAAGAGTGTTTGGCCTTTGTGAACCTAAGGGTCAGAGAGTATGTGTTCTGTCTGTAGTGGACCAAATGTGTATCTAGAGCCCCAGGCATTTTCTTTTGTGGTCAGTAGCCTTGCTTTCATTACATGAATGCCTCTGGTCAAGAAAGACTGACTAAATGAATGTGTTTTTTCTTTTTATGGGTTTGTTCTTTTCTCTCTCAAATTCTTCCTTCCTCTTCTCCCTCCTCCTCCTTTAAAAAACTAAATTCAGTGCTAGGGATTTAGCTCAGTGGTTCTCCCACCTGCCTTGCAGGCACAAGGACCCGAGTTCGATCCCCAGTACCAAAAAAACCCTAAATTCATAGGGTCTACTTTGAGACATGACTCAAGTCATTCTTCTGTGCCCTCTGAAAATTACTTTTAGTATTCTCTCAGCTCCTTTTCAAGGCCTTTGCCACCACTCTCAAATTTGTTAGCTACAAAAGCAAATTGTAAACCACTGTAGAATATTAGTTATTGTGAATTTAAATTTAAAAATTTTTTCGAGGTTGCTAAGTTCACCAACTGTCTCTTTTTTTTCTGTACCGGGGATTGAACTCAGGTCCTTGTGCTTACAGGGCAGGTGGTGGAAACCAGCTGTCTCTTTTTGCAGGAGTTCTTAATTTGGTACATGACTAAGCTTGGGGTGTAGATTATGAAGCTTGAAAATCTCATGCAAATTTTTGAATGTATTATATTTTTATAGGAAATGGTCACAGGTATTTTTATTAGATTCTCAAGTCTGTGATTTTTAAATGTTAATAACTACTGTATATTTGCTGCTAAACAAGCACATTTTATAAGAAATCCTTTCTGAGGTACCTTTTTAAGGTATAGCCATAATTAAAATATTTATGATTGTGATGACCTTTGAATTTAAAACTTAGTCAGTATTCTCATTTTGATACCATTTTAGAAAATTAAGAAAAGACATATGGTAACTTAAAATTACGTGACTCCTCCTCATGTATGCTTTTGTTATTTTGGAGTAGACTAGTACTTGCAACTAAAAGCTAGCCTAATCAATTTCATTTAATATGTCTTCTGTATGTAACTGGGTTAGTGTTATTGCTGGTGCATTAAAATTATTTTGTATGAAAGAAATGATATTGCAAAATTTTTATAGAAATATTTAATTATGCATTATAATTCTAAAATTAAATTGCCTAAAATTTAGGACAAACCAGCAAACTTTTTTAAAAAAAGCATTTAGTAAAAGCCTTTAAAAAAAGGCCTTAATATTTGATTTCTGTGTTCAAGGGCCATTGTCTTAGTTACTTTTCTTGTTGCTGAGACAAAATACTCAACACTCAAAGTTAAAGGAGAAAACATTTATTGTAGCTCACGGTTTGTAGAGGTCTCATTTCGTAGTTGCCTGGCTCTAGGGCAGGGTGGCATGGCAGAGGGGCATTACAGAGGAGAAACAGTTCATGACAGGCACAAGGCAGCAAGCAGTGAAGTAGCAACAGGTGACGACAGCAGCCCTCTTTCTGTCCCTTATATTCTATCCAGGCTACACGCCCTTAGAATGGGTAGCACTCATACCCAGGGTGGGCCTTCCCATTATCCACACCCAGAACTATGCTAAACCAGTCCGTGGAACAATTTAGCTATTACACACCCTTAATCCCAGCATCATGCACTCTAGATCCAGCCACCTCTGAAAAGCCCCACCTATGAGCTTATGAGGCTTTGGGGGGATATCTAGACATAAGCGATAACTGCCATGAAGATAAATAATTTGGATAACAGTTCTATGATATATGTGCAGTTTAAGCAGTGAGAGTACTGATTGGAAATACTAGTTGGAATGAGACCAGTTTTGGTAAGAGCTTAAAATGCAAGTTAATTATCAAGAGGGTCCATCTTTATGACCTTGTAGATTCCCAGTGGTTTTTTTATTTTTATGGGCACTGGGAATCGAACTCAGGACTTTGTGGTTGCCAGGCAGGTGCAGTGACACTGAGCTACATTCCTGGCCCCAACCTTGTAGGTTCTTAATCCTGTGCTAGACCTTTCTTTTCTGTGAAATGAAGAGATTAGATTAGAAGGATCTAAGGACCCTTAAAGCTCTTACAAAATAATTCTAGAGTTATTAATGGAGTCTTTTTACAAGGATTTCCCTCTGTTTATTTCACATTTGCCACTATGTAAAAAGTATTCAAGGTAGGAGAGGTCACTAAAACTATCCAAAGTGGTTCACCTTTCTATATAAGAGTGGTGCTAGTTGTTAGACACTTAGTAGAATATATGTTTTGAGTGTTTTTGGTGTAATAGAAGTTTGCTTTGAATTTGCCTCACTTTTACCTGAACATTTTTCAGATAGGTTTAGAGAAGTACCATCCCATCTGGTAGCAATTAGCCATGTATGAATAATTAAATAGAGTATAAAGTGAAATACAATTTAAAATTTCATGTTTCATTTTCACTTCCAGCATTTCAAGTACTCAGTAGCCCCATGTGGCTCATGGACTATGATATTGGAGATCACAGATTAGAACATTTCCATTGTCACAAAAAATGCTATTAGTGCTTAGTGAAGGTATAGTTTATGACTATGGGATAAACTATATCTCTGTTCAAATTAACTACTCTGTATGGGATTTACATTTTACTTTGTAATCTTCTGAAGTCTTTTAGACCAAATTTCAAATGGAACTAAAAAGAAAACCTGTTGAAGTATAGAGGTATATCAGTTCTTAATAAGGTGTTATATTTTAGAATTTTAAAAATCATAGACATACTAGAAAATAAATATGGATTCATCTGTCTGCTGTATCTTTGAGATGTGTTTCTTAGATGGTTTTTTTTTTGTTTTTTTTTAAGAAATGCTCTTGGAATGGAAAGAAAGGATAGCATAAATGGAAGATTGGTCATCAAGCCTTGAATATCACCCTAGGATATGTGGAATATAGAATTAACTCACCTGTATAGTACAGTGCTTTTAAAACTCACCAGGCTGACTACTCAGAATTGATTACCACTTAAACTGTATGTTGGTTGGGCTAACACATTACTGCCCCCCCCCCTTTTGTGGCATCACTGAATAAAGAAAAGGAGGAAATATGCTTGGTTAGAACACCTGAATCATTTCATCATAATGGTGGTTGTAAACAGACTTTAATACAAATTTGATCAAATACAGCAGATCTTAACCAGGAATTAAAAAATATATATACTCAAAGATCATAACAAAATCAATTTATCAAACTGATGTTTTGATTGAATTACTGTTTCTGTTTTGAAATGGTCAGATATAGCCCCATCTATTTGTTTTATTTGTGTAACAGTCATGCTGGATTGCCATGCAACATTGATTGATTTTGGAAAAGATAGCATTGATGTTGATAGCAATGAACTCAGACATTATGTGTAGTTTTTTAGTCAATTTAAATTATTTTACCACTTTGGACTTTGCAATTCTCAAAGATCAGAAATTCCTTATGGTTGCAGATGATTATGTTCTAGTGACTTACCATGTGGTTTCACATGACTATGGTTTTAATGCTTCATTGCTAATAGTTGAATGTGGAAAAGGTTAAAATTGCATATAATTTAGTCAGCTGTTAGGTGTGGTCAATCTTTTATAAACTTTTTTTTTTTTGGTGTGGGATCGAACTCGGGTCTTTGTGCTTGCGGGGTAGGTGGCGGCACTACTGAACTAAATCCCCAGCAATCTTTTATAAACTTAAGGCAACTCTTGACAGCTTTACTAACGCTAAAATATTTATATACTTTCTTCTAAGTATAAGTAGTTCTTTATATTAACAGCACACAATCGGGGTCTGTTTCAGTTCTTTTCCAACTGGAGTGGTGAAAGGAAAAAAACCCTTATTTACAGTTAGCATAAAATCATCATCATTTGAGAGAGGGTCTCAGTATGTAGTTTAGGCTGGTCTTGAACTCACTAGGTGGCCCAGGCTGGCCTTGAACTCAAGAGATCTTTCTATCCCAGCTTCCCAAGTGCTGAGAATTATAACCCAAGTGTTTTAAAAGCCATATACAGTCTCTTTAAAATGTATCTGTGATAAATGTTTCTTCTTGCCTTGCATAAATCAACATTGCCCAATGGGGAAGACATTATCTTTAATGTTGAACTCAACATCTGTTAATTATACTTGCCTATTTTTATCTTAGTATTTTGAGCTTTCTTGGTCATACATACATAGCAACCTAGAAGTTGTCAGACATTCGTATACCTGATAAAATAAAAACAGCGTCAAGATTATTTCTATTTTCTCTCCAAGCAAAGTACACTGTGTCCTTAAGCTCAGTTTTTTGGTTTATTTCTTTGGTATCGGGGATCGAGCTCCTTGCGGGTATTGGGGTTCTTGGACTTGCAAGGCAGGCAGTGGAACCACTCTAAGGTCAGTTTTTGAAGCTTAAGTTCTCTGAACCTGCTTGCTCTAAGGAGTTGCTATGCTGTTAACTAACTGTTCTTTGCTCTGTTGTTCTGATAAACACTTGTCTGTGCAGTGATTGATTTACATTACGTTTTCCTTTCTCAGGAAGATTCAGAAAGGGCCAGGTATTCCCACCGGTCCAGTCATCATCGTCCTTATCTGGTTTGTAATAACTTATCAACTCACCTCTGATACTTTTATTCATTAATTTAATTTAGTCACTCACAAACTTTTCTGTTTGTTTTTGGTTTTATAAGGAAGTTGAGAATACATTGTCCCTTCAAAGTCTTGGAACTCACAGGGTTTGTATTTTAAGTTCTTTCATACCATAATTGCAAAGCTAATGAGTGTGAGCTTTCTTCAGCATCAGCTTTTATCAGCAATCTGACAATGTTCATTTATGGTGTTGTCTTTAAAATAGAAAATACTGGCAAAATTCTTTCATCAGAAAGTGATGTTTTCTTTCAAATTATTGCTGTGGATAACTAATTTCTAAAATCTTGAATATTTTCATCTACTAATGTATGTCTATTTTTTCCTGTAGAAGGACCTTTGATTTCAGAAAAGATAAGATTGATTTTGTAGAATAACATCTGCTTGCTTCTAACTTTTAGGTTCCTTCTACTTTTATGTCTTAAAAAAGAATTTTTAAAGTGGAAAATAGCTTTAGAGTTTGCCTGACTAATTACAATTTTATTACATGGAAAGATTGATTGATTTGATTCGATTTGAAAAATTCTGTGCTTGTCACATGCATAGGAATTATCATGCTTTAACTTTTTGATTAACATTTTATAGAATATCCTAGAATTTTAGCATAGATTGTTGTAAATCAAGATAAATGAAAATTTGCTCTTGAAAGGCTTTCATGTTATGCGGAGACACTGATCTCTCAAAGAATTTTAAAATTTTAAACCTTCAAAACATTGCTTTTAATTTGCACAGTGATAATGCTTTATATACATTTATATCTTATCTGTATTTTTCATCAGTAAAAGATCTTTCATGTTAAGGTCTGTATTTGTTAATTTTATCCAACTCTTATTTTCTTCTTGCCTACACAATGTATAAAAATGTAATAACCTCAATATGTTCTGGGATACACTGACATGTTTGTGTTCATAAATAGTCTGTCATGGTGTTTGTTTTCTTTGGGTGATTGTAATTACTGTTTTTTTAAAGTAAGTTTGTAAACTGTTTCTTTAATCACAAATATTTTGGTTGCTTACACAGTTAGATTTTTAAGAATATTTCCTTTATGGAAATCTCAGATAATCAGTGGACTGTACACTATGTGATTTTTCAGGAGCAAAACTCATGAATTTGTCATGTTTCCACTGGACATACTTTGATTTTTCTGTTTAAATACTTTGGAAAGAATCATATAGTGAATCAACAAAGGCTTCAAAGTTAAGCCTCAAGGGCTGTGAAAATAATCCCTTTTTATTTTTAATTTATGACATTTTTCTTTGCTTTCCATTAGTACTATCTTGGGCAACAAAATGTTTTATTCTTTGTCCTCAATCTTGTTTTTGTTAATCCAAAGGATTGCTTTTGGCTTTTAGGTAAGAAGATAATGGAAGGAGGGGACTCCGTTGTCCTCTGTAGTTAATGAAGAAGATAGAGGGTCTCCGTAAGGTGTGGGGTGATGGACTCCGCATTCTCCCTTGTTGTAAATCCTAATCAAGTTTTCTTTACCTGGCTAGACACTAAGCCAGGTGCTGGGCACAGGAGGAGGCAAGGAAGGATGAAATGTAGAGAGGCCATATATCTTAGCCATTCAAGTGCAATGAATCCTTTATTTTTTTTTTATTTATTTATTTTGTTTGGTATCGGGGATCGAACTCGGAACCTTGCGCTTGCGAGGCAGGCGACGGCACCACTGAGCTAAATCCCCGGCCACAATGAATCCTTTATTAACAGCTGGAAAATAGATTGCATGTAGACTACTCTATATCTTATACTGACTTTTGTATGGATTATCTCTAGATGAATTTTATTATTTTAAAAAATTCTCTATGCTTTCATTAAAGTTAACTTAAAGTATTTACTTCCAGAATCATTCTCATAGTCAGTCTTATGGAATAAAGAAGAGATCTTCTGCTTCTCATAAAGATCCACTGGTTAGTTCTGCTGTGTGTCATTTCATAATTTACTGATTACTTTAGGTAATTTAAGAGTTATGACTGTTTTGATATGCTCCTAAGACATTATTGAAACTTTATAAGGTGCTGAAACATGATACATTAGAATCTTATTGAAAGTAATTTTGTTTTTATTCATAAGATTTAATGGCAGATTAACAAATCCTAATTCTAAAGGCTAGAATTAGGTTAGTAAGTTAATCACAAGAAGCTCATTAAGGAGATATTTTCATTTATGAACTGTCCTTTGGAATATACCTCAAGAATGGGTTTAGTGAAGATTGATCCTTATTTTAGAAACTCTGAATTTATTTAGCTTGATATTATGGGCCATACCAGTCTTTTTTTTTTTTTAAAATATATATATTATTGGTACATTTTAGGTATAAAATACATTTACATTTATCATTGGGTGTTTGTACCAGAACATGATGCATCTTAGTTTTTATTTTTTCTCCCATTACCTGTGCACCCT